GTCGTCGGTTGCAGGGGGGGTCCCCTTCCCGGTTCGAGCCCCCCCCCCATGCAACTCAGTGGGGGGGCTTTGTGCGCGTCGTCGCCGTCGCCGCCGCCGCCGCCGCCGCCGCCGCCGTCGTCGTCGTCGTCGTCGTCGTCGTTTTCGCTGTCGTCGTCGCTAGCCGACGGCGCCTGCGCCGATGGGGGGGCCCCAGGGAGGGCCCTCCCATTTCGAGCCCGCCCCCATTTCGAGCGCGTCGTCGTCGTCGTCGTCGGGGCATCGTCGTCGCCGCCGCCGTCGTCGTCGTCGTCATCGTCGTCGTCGTCGTCATTATCGTCGCTGCCCGACGGCGCTGGCGCCGTCGTCGTCGCCGTCGCCGTTTCGGCCGCCGCCGCCGCTGCCGCCGCCGTCGCCGTCGTCGTCATCGTCGTCATCGTCGTCGTTGTCGTTCTCGTCGTCGTCGTCGTCGTCGTCGTTGTCGTCTTTGTCGTTGTCGCTGTCGTTGTCGTCGCTGCCCGACGGCGACGGCGCTGACGCCGGCCATCGCCGTCGTCGGTGCCAGAGGGAGCCACCCTCGTCGTCGCTGCCTGACGGCGCTGGCACGGGCGCTCGCCGCCGTCGTCGGTTGCACAAGGGGGGTGGGCTTCTGGGTTCGAACCCCCCCTCTATGACAGAGGGGGGGTGCCGGCCCCCTTGGTTCGAACCCCCCCGCTCTTGAACAGACGAGGGGGGACCCTTCCCCGGCTCGAACCCCCCAACAGAAGGGCGGGGCCCTTTCCCCGGTTCGAACCCTCCCCCCCTCCCTTGGTTCGAACCCACCCCCCTGGTTCGAACCCCTACCCTCCCTGTTCGAAGCCCTAGCCCCTCGGTTCGAACCCCACCCCCCCCGGTTCGAACCCCCCAGGAGGGGGGGGTGTTTCCAGTTCGGACCCTCCCCCGGCGCGGGAGGTCTCCCCCCCCCCCGGTTCGAGCTTCCCCCCCGTTTGCATCTCGGGGGGGGGGGCCCTTCCTGGTTCTTGGCATCGCTCGGACGTGTGAATTTGTCCTTCGGCGAGGGCAATCGAGGAGCATCCTTGATCATTTGGCGAAAAAGCCACGCGCGAAACCGAACAAAACACAGGGAATGGCGGTCCAAGCGATGGCGAGGGTTCGGCCCCCCACTTTTCCCGGCGTCCACAGTAGGCGCTCGTCCGGAGACTGCGAGCCCACTGCAGGGCCCATCTGTGCGCGGGTAGCGGGCAGCGGGCATCTTGCCATCACCATCCAGTATCGGCTCATCGTTTCCAGGCGAGTCTCCAAATAATGCAGGAATGGGCAATTTCCAATTCTTGTCGTATCTGCGATAATGTGTTCGAGTTTATCTGGCTTCTCTTACCGACGCATCAAATCCCAGACGAGTAGCATGCCAGACGCGGTATGGAAGCGCTATTGGACGGAGGTATCGCCGAACCCCCGCGGAAAAAGCGGGACCCAGCAGCATTGACGTCACGGACAAGATCCGGGAGTTGTTTTCAGTCTTCGTGAAGATGTACGCATGTTCATTTTCATGGCAGTCGTGTGCATCTGCCTCCGGGTTGCGACGGAGAGCGTTGCAGTGCAGGGAATCAGGAAGGCGTAGTTACAAGATCCACACATATTGCAAAAATGAATATGTGACCACGATGAGGGCGGCCCAGACCCATGGACATTCATAGAGTTGCTGGCTGATGCAAGTCCGTCAGAGCATGCATCTCGGTGCCTCGGCTGAGCTCGCCGCTCTGCTTGGCGTCCTTGATCGGACACGCTCGGTCGCGGCCGCTCCCCTGATTACTCAGGTCTGTGGCCACAGCCTTCAGAAGCTCGGGCAAAGACCCTGTCGCTCTGCTTGACTCCAGGTTGCACGGAGGCCACGCGCAGTTCCGCCGCCGCCGCTACGCCGCCTCCTCCGCCTCCGCCACATCCCTCCTCCTCCTCCTCCTCCTCCTCCTCGCCCCCTCCTCCGCCTCCTCTTCTTCCTCCTCCTCCTCCTCCACCTCCACCTCCGCCTCCGCCTCCGCCTCCTCCTTTTTCCTCCTCTTCGTCCTCCTCCCCCTCCTCCTCCTCCTCCTCCGCCTCCTCCTCCTCCGCCTCCGCCCCCTCCTCCTCAAGAGCAGCCTTGGTCGCGCAGCCTGGCCCGGGGGCGTTGCAGGCCCGGGCTCTCCCGCCCCGGCGCCGGCTCCTGGGCGCGGGCGGCCGCCCGCCCACCGCGCGGCGGGAGCCGCGGGGAACGCGCGGGTACCAGGCCAGGTCCACCTGAGCGGTGCGGACCCTCCCTGTTAAGTGAGGGTCCGCACCGCTCAGCCGGAGGAGGAGGAGGAGGAGGAGGAGGAGGAGGAGGAGGAGGAGGAGGAGGAGGAGGAGAGGAGAGGAGAGGAGAGGAGGAGGAGGTGGGCGCCGTCGACAAGCACGGCCAGGCCAGCGTCACTGGCCGGGCGCCGTGGCGAGCCGGACCCTCTGCAGGGGGCCGGCTGCGTATACAGAGGAGTGACATCTCGTTGAAGTGACCTTCGGCGCGTGCACAGCGGGGCCCCCAGGTGGCCGAACGCGATGCGATGGCAGCGGCTTGCGCGCTCCGGCGCGGCCTCCCGGCGCCCCCCCCGAGAGAGCCGCGCGCCAAAGGCCACTGTCGCGCGCAGCGCAGTGAGGCGCAGACGTGGATTCGGGCGCGCGGATTTTAGCCACGGGCCCCGCTCACGCACCGACGCAACGCACTCCGTTTGCAAGTCGGGCGGCATGGGCGCCATGCGCCGGGGGTGCGGCCCCTGGTCCGTGGAGATTCAGGAGGACAAGAAACACACAGACACAGTGAATCGTCGATTCCCCAGAAAATATGCAAAATTATAGGAAGTGGGGGGAAGACAAAAAACCCAAAATATGAGAAAATATGGGACATTGTTTTATTTGTGTGTATTTATTTGTGTGTCCCAGTTCCCCTTCAGATATGGCGCCCGCGCGCCAGGTTCACGGATCCCTGACCCGTGTTAGCGCACGCCCGCGTCGACCTCTGCAGCGCTCTCCGATCCGCGCCGCTCGGCGGATGGCTCTCTTCTCGGGGGTCCCCTCTCCCGGGCCCCGCGCGGGCTCCCCACGGGAGCGGCGTCCGACGGGGCGCAGCAGCGTGGGTAGTGGAAGGAGGAGGAGGAGGAGGAGGAATAGGAGGAATAGGAGGAATAGGAGGAATGGGAGGAGGAGGACGAGGAGGATGAGGAGGATGAGGAGGAGGAGGGGGACCAGGAGGAGGAAGAGGAGACGGAGGAGGAGGAGTAAGAGGAGAGGAGAGGAGGAGGAGGGGGGCGCCGTCGACAAGCACGGCCAGGCCAGCGTCACTGGCCGGGCGCCGTGGCGAGGAAGAGTCTGGTGTTGCCTTTCCGTTGGGTCTCCCACTTCCTCTGGATTGTGTTGAGTTTGCCCGTTGCAGATTTCTGCTGTAACATCGTGAATTCGAGAAGGGCGATAAGCGAGGAGGGCGTAGACGAGGCCGAGAAGAGCAAGAGCGAACAGGAGGTGGCGGAGGTGGAAGGTGGGGCTGCCCCAGGTGACGCGGGTTTCTAAGACGGCCACCTCTATGTCGCGAATTGTCTTTCAGAGTTTGCGGCACACGCAATTGCCTATGCAAAGCAGCCTCTTGATCAACTTGTTTGATAAGACACTCTAGATATTTATCCACGTAGCTCCTGGCAAAACCAGAACGATCCATCAAGGCGAACCGTCAACGCAAGGCAGTGTTGCATCCTTCGATAGTTCGCGGCCTGCGTTTGATGTTTGTTGCCAGGGCCCTGGAGCGCGATGCCGTGGCGTCGTGGCGCGTTGTAGGTGGTTTCTGCGCTCCACCAGTATGTGTGTAGATACACATACACACATTCTTACTGGGTTACTTGTATGTAGCCGTAAGTGGGCCCCAGACAGCGGCTTCTGCAAAGGAGGTGTATTCCGGGTGGCGCAATGCAACACAACGCAAAGCAATGCAAGCATAATGCACAGCAATGCAACACAGTACAAAGCAATGAAGTCAATGAAACACAACGCATTGCAAACCAGTGCAACACAATGCACTGCATGGCACGTAAAAGCAAGGCAACACAATGCAAAGCAAGAAAGGCCGAACCACAGCAATGCAAACCATGCAAAGCAATGCAACGCAATGCAATACAATGCACAGCATTGCAAGGCAAGGGGCAAGGCAACGCACTGCAATGCAATGCGAAACATTGCGAAGCAAACCAAACAACGGAAATCAATGCGTTGCAATGCGAAACGATGCAACGCAGTACAAGGCAATGTAAGGCACACCAGTGCAAACCAATGCCAAACGACAAAACAATGTAAAGCATTACGAATCAACGCCAAGCGACGCAATGCGAAGCAATGCGCAGCTATACAAAGCAACGCTAAGCAACACAAAGCAACTCAACACGAAGTAATGCACAGCAGGCAAAGCAATACAACGCCACCCTTGCAAAGCAAATCAGTGTAAAGCAATGCGTCGCCATTCGACGAGGCGGCGACGGGGCCGCGACCGCGACCACAAGGCGGCGGACCCGACAACGGAGCCCAGACGACGGGCGGCGAAGGGGCAGCGACGGCGACCACAAAGGCGGCGGACCCGACAACGGAGCCCTGACGACAGGCGGGGACGGGGCGGCGACGGGGCGGCGACGGCGAACACAAAGCGGCGGACCCGACAACGGAGCCCAGGTCCTCAGAAAAGAAGTACGATGCCCGATTTGCAGCCCACAGTTTGGGGTTATAAGATTTTCAGCGCCATTCCGGATCGAAGACCGGCTACCTCGCAACCATCGGCCAGCATTTGTTGATGTTCCTTCACCAGGGCTTCCAGGAGGCCTCAACATTGCCCACGAGGCCCCCCCCCTAACAGCCTCAGATAACCCCAAGTCGGCCTGGAAGAAACCCAAAGGGACCCCAAGACGATCCAAGAACGCTTCACGAGCGCACAATTTGTGCCCAACACGGCCCAAGATGAGCCCAAGACGCCTCCGCAGCCATTTTGGCTCAAGCCTTTTTTGGCCCACGCCGCTTGGGCTGCGGCCAGCCGCTCTGGGCCGTGCCGTGGGCTCCGAGGCGAGAGAAAGCGCGCGGGCCTGGCTGCGGGGCCGATCGAGCCGCAGCAGACGGTGAGCCGCATGCGCCTCACGTTCAGCGACAGCATCGAGGTCATCCAGTTCGACCCCGAGTGCCGGACCCCTGGCCAGGGCAGCGTTCTTGCCGTGGTGATCGCGAGCCCGCGGGCCGCGAGGCGGAAGACGCCGTCCCCGCCTCCCGCGAAGGTTGCTGGCGGCGGTGCTTCGGAGGCACCCCTGCTGCATGCAACTGTTTCTCGCGGGGGCTCCTGGCCAGTCTCTTCGAGCTCGTCGCCCTCACCGTGGACTGGGCGGTCGCATTGCAGGCTGAGCAACGAGCCAGTCGACAGCGACGCGGGGGAGGCCGCCGAAGAGAGCGTGTTCGCAATGGCGGCCCAGAGGCGACACATCCGCCGCAGCGTCACTGCCAATCTTGGGCCGGGCCTTCCCCCGCACGTCTTGCCGGCGGTGATGACGTCGAAGATCCTTTCACGGCGTCGAGGGGCAGGCCAGACGGGAATTCGCCTCAGTGCAGATGGCAGCACGTGCTGCTCCGCCGTGGACGGCGTCCGGCGAGTCAGTTCATGCTCGACATCGTCATCGGACTGAGGGCGCACGCGAGGTGGTGGGCTGAGGCGCTGGAGCGCTCCGCGTCAGGCGGGGCCTGGTGCGCAACACGTACGTCGCTACAGTAACAGGAACGCGACGCGACGATCCGCTGACTGAACGCCACACAGGGGAGCCAGCGGAGTACTGTTGATTCGCCGAAGGTGCTTCAGCATCAGGAGTAGCAGTTGAAAAATGCCAGTGCCCCCTTCGTCGATATCGGGTCTTGGCTGCTGTACCATGTCCTCCGCGGCAGCCTTTGACAGAGTGTCCGGTCGCGTTGGCATTTCCGTTTGGGCATCGAAATTCCGCCTTGCTATGTCCGCGGTATGCTGCCCGCAACGTTCCGCCCGCAGTCACGAGCGCATACCCTGCGCAGCGATTGCGTTCTCGAGGTCGACCATGGCCGATGGCCACGTCGGCGTTGAATGTTTTGTCATTTCGCCATCAGCCGGAGGCTTCCAGGCAAGTGTTGAACTCTCATGCTCAATTTGTACAGGCCTCCACAATATATGTAAAACATAGTCCCAGAGAAGCCACAATCAGTGGATGGCTTAATAATTTGGCCGGCACCTTGCCTGGCCGCAGCTTCGCCGGAAGGCCCGAAGAGGCCAAAAGTATTGAATCCCCTTCCAGTCTAAAAATGGTTATGGCATTTTCGCCTTCTCAGGCACCCGTCGGCTGAAACATTCCACGGGGGCCTTTAATATAGACAACGTGAGAGGCCCCCTGGACAGCCCTAGGCAGCCTCAAGATGGCCCCGCGACGGCCCGAAGAGACCCTCAACACAGCGAAGATGGCCGCAACGTGGCCCAGGAGAGCCCTAAACGGACCAACAGGACCCCGTCAGTGAAAGCCTTCATTGGGGAATATCTAGTTACAGTAACGTGCGCGTGGGAATCCGCATGCATGTCTCTGCATCGGCATCTTACCAAGATCCCAGAACCAGGTACTAGGAACCCGGGAGCCCCACCAATCTTACATTGCCAGGGACCCTGGCATTGGAAACTGGGAATCCGGGAACCCAGCCGCCCACCGAAACCAAATCGGACCCCAGAAACGGGAACCCGGAACCCGGAATTGGAAACCAGGGAACCCGGTCGCCTACCGAAATCGGGCCGGGATTTTCGCCAAATGTTCCAGAATTTGTTATGACCCTTACTGCGTGATTCTGACACCCTCCTCCGTGTACCTATTTTGGCTCAAGATGAAAAGAGATCTTGTTGCTAATCAACACATTATCTCATCATGGTAGCGTGAGCTGGCCACTCACTGCTGCGACCCACCAGGGCCTCGCGGCGCGCGCGGCGCCACGGCGAGCTGGCAGGGCGCGTGGCCCGAGGCGAGAGGCTGGAAGAGAGCGGCATCAGCCGCACCGAGCACAGCAGAGGCCGGACCACCGGCAGAGGTTGAGAGGAGACCACCGAAGAGCGGCCGCAGGCGCGGCAAGAGGAGTGACGCAGCTGTTGAGAATCGAAGACGACAGTTGCAGTTCAAACACGGCCTGAAGGACACGGGCAACAAGTTGCACGACCTCGCGTACATCGAGGACCATCCCTCGGAGAACTCGTCAGGAGCAATCGAGGAGGCGAAGGAGGAGGTCTTAGATCAGATCATAGACCTCGAGCGTACGAGGCAGGAGATCTCAGAACGCAAGGAGGAGCTCGCCAGGAAGCACGCAATTAAACATGGACGAGCAAGTTCGGCAGCAGTTCGACTTACTGAGGCAGGAGTTCGCAGCCCGCATGAGTCAGACCGTCGACGAGATGAGGAGGCTCGAGAACGAGAATCAGCGGCTTCAGCAACAAGTAGCCGGAGGCCTCGCGGCGATTCCGCAGGCGATCGAGCGCATGGGCGAGCAGATCCGAGGAGCTACGCACGCGGGAGGAGCCGCACCAGGTCTCGTCGACACGAAGGGGATCGGCAAGCCCACGACGCTAGGCGACGATCAGGAGAAGTTCGGAGCTTGGAACCGCAAGATGGAGAACTACGTGATAGGCGTGTACGGAGAGAGCTTCCGTCCTGTTCTCCGGTGGGCGGCAGAAGCCGAACGCCCCGTGACGATCGAAGGGGCACAGGAGGCGCACGGAGGAGTACCAGAGCTGGTGACCAAGATCAACCAGCTGTACGCGGCGCTGATCAGCACGACGGCGGACGGCAGCGAGAGCAACGACCTCGTGACGGGCGCGCCAGACGGGAACGGTCTCGAGGCCTGGCGGAAACTTCACCGCAGGTGGGACCCGACGACAGGTCCGAGGAAGAGGCTGATCCTGAGATCGATCATCTCGCCTCCGAAGTGCAACGCGGAAGAGCTGGGGTCCGCCTTAGAGAAATGGATCCAGCAGATAGGCAAGTACGAACGCCGCCAAGGAGAGGACGGACTGGCCGAGCTGCCGGAGGATATCAAGATGGCGGCCCTCGAGATGCTCGTGCCTCAGGACATCGAGAACCACCTCGTACTCAACAAGCATCGGCTCGTAACGTTCCAGGACAGTCTGAACGAGGTGATGACGATCGTGGAGGCTCGGACAGGCGTGAAGATCAAGGAGCCATCGATCCGCGCACGGGCGCACCATCCGGACGACATGGACGTCGGATCGTTCGGAGCCCCGAAAGGAAAAGGCAAAGGCAAGGGCAAGGACGGCAAGAGCAAAGGGAAAGGCAAGGCCCAGGAGACGAAGGGGAAGAGCAAATCGACGAGCGGATCATACTCAGGCTCCCGCACATCCCCGACGGGTTCGGGCCGTGGTTCCGGGCACACGGCACCCCGAAGCACCGGCGTGCGCTTCGACGGCTACTGTCGGAACTGCGAGAGATGGGGCCACAAGGCATCCGAATGCTGGAGGAAAGAGCAGGGATCGAGTACGAGGGCTGGAACTGGATCCGCAACGGGGGCAAGCGCTGGTGGTAAAGGTGGTGGCCGCGGCGGCAAGGCCGGCGGCAAGGCTGCAGGCAGCCTGGAGGAGGAGCCTGAAGCGGAGGTCGCCGCCCTGGATATGGGCAGCTTGGATTGCCTGGAGCTCGCCGGCGGCAGCGGCCGCGGCGTAGCAGCGGTCGACCTCTCTCCCTTCGCGCAGGACGACTGGACGAAGTTCAACTGGGACAGCGGTGCAGCGGTCTCAGCATTCCCTCGGAGCTTCGCGCCGCCGACGGGATTGAAGGGCAACGGCAGCACGTATCGCACGGCCAGTGGTGAGCTTGTCCCGGACGAGGGCAGCTTGCAGCTCAAGGCGGAGGATGAGTACGGAGTGCTACGAGCGCTCAAGGGACGCGTGACGAACGTGCACAAGCCGTTGATCTCGGTGGGGCAGGCAGCAGGAGCTGGACAGTGTTCATTCCTAGGCCGCAATGGCGGCTGGATATTCCACGAGAAGAGCCCAATCGGCAAGCGTGTAGTAGGCATGCTGGAGAAGGAGGCGAAGACGGCGAAGCACCAGATGCTGCCGGTCTATCGTGAGCAGGGCGTTTACAACTTCTACCTCAAGAAGGGCCAACATGGCTCGGTTGCTCCTCTCGAGGAGGGATTTTCGGCGAAGTCGAAGTCCGAGCTGGTGGAGCTACTCAGCGGCAAGTCGAAGGAGGAGCTGCTGGAGATCCTCGAGAGGACAGTCCCCAGGAGGCAGCCCTCGGCGTAAGTCCACTGGAAGACTCAATACAGCAGTCCCCTGCGGCATCGGCTGCAGGGGCAGCAGCGGCGGGGTCGGGACCTTCCGACATGAGACCGCCGGGTTTTCAGCCAGCAGCAGCTGCGGCGGCTGACGCTTTGCCAGCTGCTCCTGATGGACAGCAGGCCGACGAGGGCGAGGAGGAGGCTCGCCCGAGGGTGCTGAAGGCACCTCATGAGCCCTCTCAGAAGGAGATCGCCGAGCACGAGGCGATGGGACACGCGACTTACCGCAGCTGGTGTCGCGTGTGCATTGCGGCAAAGGGCCAAGGCCAGCCGCATCTCCGCGCACCGGAGGACGACGAGACGGCGGTGCCGGTGGTCTCGTCCGATTACGCCTTCATGGGCCAGGACGACGCGGACACCATGCCGATGCTGGTCCTTCGGGATCGACGTTCGAAGATGATGGCAGCGACATTCGTGGAGAAGAAGGGCGACGACGCCTACGCCATCAAGTTCTTCGCACGCTTCTTACGGATCCTGGGCTACAGGAAGATCGTCAACAAGTCCGACGGCGAGCCAGCGATCCTGCTGGTCAAGAGGCGTGCGGTGGAGGAGGTTCCTGGCCTCGAGGCCATTCCCCAGGAGTCGGCACCGGCCGACCATCAGGCCAATGGGGAGATCGAGGTCACGGTGCGCGAGATCAAGAAGCAGGTGCGAGCGCTCAAGATGGACCTGGAGTCCAAGCTGGGCGTCAAGGTGGAGGACAAGCACCCAGTGCTAGCGCACCTGCCGGAGCACGCCGCATCGGTGATCAACCGATACAGGCGCGGCCAGGACGGCAAGACCGCTCTTCAGCGGCTCACGGGACGGCAGTGGAGGAAGCCGGTCCCGCTCTTCGGCGAGCGCCTGATGGTGCGGTTCGCCGGGGAGCGCACGAGGAAGAACGCGCTGGAGGAACAGATGGTGGAGGCCCGCTACATTGGCCACCACCCGCGCGACGGCTCGATGATGGTCATCACGAGCGACGGTGTGAAGAAGGCGGTCGGCTTTCGCAGCCTGCCGCAGAGCGAGAAGTGGATCACGGCGGGCTGGGACAGCCTGAAGGGCCTGCCGTGGGACGTGGCTCCGCGCGCGGCCAGTGCGCCGCGAGCCATCGTCGGACCGGGAGAGGCCGGTCCGCCACCGATTGTGGTGGCGCCGCCGCAGCCGCAGGCGCCGAGGAGGATGTACGTTCTCAAGGCGGACGTCGAGCGGCTGGGCGCAACGCCGGGATGCCCAGGGTGCGTCTCGATCGCCAAGCACGGCAAGGTGCTGGCTGGCCATGCGCACAACGCGGTGTGCAGCAAGAGAATCTTCGAAGCGCTGGACGCTGAGGAGGCAGGCCGGGAGAGGACCGGCCAGTATCGAGAGCGGAGGCAGGGCCAAGAGGCCAGAGTCCGCCCGGCGGCAGCGGCCGCGGCAGGGACCCCTCCGCCGAAGACGGCTCGGAGGATCACCGAGCCAGTGGCAGCGGCGGCGTCGGCGCCGGCCGCGAGCCGATCAGCAGCAGCGCCAGCAGCAGCGGCGCGCATGCGAGAGAGCCAGCCGGGAGCATCAGGCTCCGGCGTGGCGGCTCCTTCAGGAGGAGCGAGCTCCAGTTCGGGAGCAGTGAGAGCGGCAGAGGCCGCCGAGGATGTCGACATGACCGCGACCAGGTCGCGGCTGAAGCGCTTGGCGGAGGTGGCCCCGGATGACGTGCCGGAGGCCCTCGAGCGCGGCGATCCACAGCCGGCAGACGTGCCGGTACCGGTGGACATGGAGGACCTCGCGGCGCAGCCGGCGCCAGCGGAAGGACCTCAGCTGCCAGCTGGAGTGGCAGTCGTGTGGAACGCCAGCGAGGGGAGACACATGCGGGTGCTCGCTCTCGACGTGGCGTCAATCGAGCTGGTCGAGCTCGGAGTGCTGACGAGAGCGAAGGCGGAGTTGCTTCCGCTCGTTCGTGAACAGGTCAGCGGCCACTGGGCCAGTGTCGGCGTGGACATCGCCGACGAGGAGGTGGACAGCATCGCCTTATCGGCGTTGCAGCTGGGCGCCGTGGACGTGGCAGAGGTGCACTCGCCGCATCGGTTCTCGGCGCGAGCGGCGGAGTTCCAGCTGCGCCCGGGCTTCGCGGCGGACCTGGAGGAACTCAAGGAGGACGGGACGCCGTGGGACTTGCGGCGACCCGAGGACATCAAGGAGCTCGAGGAGCTGCAGGAGCGGATGGATCCCATCCTGCTTACGGGGTCCCCTCCATGCGAGAAGTTCAGCTTGCTGAGGGGCCTGAGCGCCAAGTTCAGGACCGATGAGCAGGAGGCGGCTGAGATGGAGGAGGCCAGACACCACCTGAAGGTGGCAGTCGACGCCTACTGGCGTCAGCTCAGGAAACCAGGCAGGTACTTCCTGCATGAGCATCCCTGGAGCGCGCGATCGTGGGATGAGGACATCGTCAAGGAGCTGGTCGCGCATCCAGGAGTCTTCACGGTCAAAGGCCCCATGTGTCGGTGGGGCATGAAGCTCACGAACCCACGCAGTGGCCAGGAGGAGTTCGTGCGCAAGGAGACCGGGTGGGTCACCAACCACCCAGGCTTGGCTCGGAGACTGCAGGGCACTTGCAGCAATGTGGACGGACGCGCGGAGTGGCATCGCCACATCACGCTCGTGGGCGGCATCGCGCGGTTCGCGAAGGTCTATCCACCGAAGTTGGTGGAGGCGGTGCTGGAGGAGCTCAAGGACACGCTGAACGACGTGGGGGAGCTCAGCACCGCCCAGGTGCAGCAGTCGGGCCCAGTCCCTGTGGACGCGGCGGTGCCGCCCGGGGACTGGACGAGCTACTGGGACGACGTCAACGGCGGCTACCTGGAGGCAGGCCTTGTGGCCCAGGCTCGCGCGGTCGAGCGCGAGTGGGTCAAGAAGCAGGAGCTGATCGAGATCGTCCCGAGGTCTCAGGCTTTCGCTGAGACTGGGCGTCCGCCCATCCCACTCAAGTGGGTCGACACGAACAAGGGCGACGCGGAGAGGCCCAACTACAGGAGCAGGCTCGTCGTGAAGGAGATCAAGGCGAAGAAGCGTCCTGACGAGCAGCTGGAGGCGTCCGAGGTCTTCTCGGCAATGCCTCCTCTGGAGGCCATGCGGTCGCTGGTCTCGCTGATGGTCACGTGGACGCGGGAAGCACCGCTCCACATTCAGGAGTCGCTTCGCAAGAAGGGCAGGAAGCCGGGCAACTTCAAGATCGGCTTCTTCGACATCAGCAGGGCGCACTTCTACGGGAAGGCGCAGCGGAGGATCTTCGTGGAGCTGGAGGAGGAGAGTCGCAAGGAGCACGGCGAGGACAAGTGTGGCTTACTCCTCAAGTCCTGGTACGGCACGCAGGACGCCAGCAAGATCTGGCAGGGCGACTACACGGAGCTGTTGGAGGAACACGGCTACAAGGCGGGCATGTCATGCCCAGCGGTCTTCTACAAGGAGGTGGACGAGACAAGGCTGCTGGGGCACGGCGACGACTTCGCGGTGCTGGCTCAGCAGCAGGACACCGACAGCTTCGAGGCCACGTTGGGCAAGAAGTACGAGTTCAAGAAGACTGCGAACCTCGGCTTCGACGAGGGCGACGACAAGCAGGCGATCTTCCTGAATCGGGTCATCGAAGTCAGTGCGGGAGTTCCGCCTGGCGGTGGCCGGCCCTGCCGGCATGCGATGATTGAGCCGGACAAGCGGCGCGCAGAGATCGTGATCGACGAGCTGGGTCTCAGCAAGGCCAACGGCGTAGACACGCCGATGGAGAAGCGCAGCGCCGACAAGCAGATGATGGACGCGAAGTCGGCGGCGCTGGGAACGGCGGAAGCTTCGCGCTTCCGATCCCTCACCATGAGGGTAGCCTACCTGTCTCAGGACAGGCTGGACTTGGCAGAGGCATCGAAGACGCTCGCCAGGTCCATGCAGACGCCGACGGAGGCGAGTTGGCTCATGCTCAAGAGGGTCGGCCGCTACCTTAAGCGGCATCCCAGTACGGTGACGGTCTTCACGGAGCAGAAGATGTTCGACAAGATCCGGGTGTACGTGGACTCCGATCATGCGGGCTGTGCAGTCACTCGGAAAAGTACGGGAGGCTTCGTGGCGATGCTGGGGCATCACGTCATCAAGCACGGCAGCAATCTGCAGTCGACGGTCTCTCTGAGCAGTGGGGAGAGCGAGTACTACGCCCTGGTCAAGGGCGGGAGCGTGGGCCTGGGTCTACACAGCCTCTTCGCAGACTGGGGGCTGGACCTGAAGGTGGAGCTCGCCTCAGACTCATCGGCGGCCCGGGGCCACGTCCAACGGCGAGGTCTCGGGAAGATGCGACATGTTCAATCCCGATACCTGTGGATCCAGGAGCGCGTGGGCAAGGGCGACCTCTCGATCGCCGCGGTTCCTGGTAAGAACAATGTCGCGGACGTGCTGACCAAGAGCGTGGGTGGATCTCTCTTGAGGAGACACATGGCGACGCTCAACATCTGGGATCGGGCACCGAGTTCGACCCAGAAGGATATCAAGTGAAGGAGTGGATCGAATCCATGCTCCGCTACCTGTGGGGCTGGATGAGTTTCCGCCGGTGGCGGTATGATCGCACCGGACGGGTGAAGTGAGGGGCTCGCGGCATGGCCGCAGCCTGGCTGACGAGATGGGCGCGTCGGCTTGGACGCGCCCGCGTGTGACGTGGAGATGGGCGTGTCGGCTTGGACGCGCCCGCGTACGACGCATGTCGTGCCTGGCCGGGTTGGCGGCCAGGCCCGAGGAGGAGTGATTCTGACACCCTCCTCCGTGTACCTATTTTGGCTCAAGATGAAAAGAGATCTTGTTGCTAATCAACACATTATCTCATCACTGCGCAAGCACTGACTGGAGTATCATCGCGGTCTGTCGAAGGGCTGCAATAACGGCGAAATTGGTGCATCTCGAGACAGTGCGGCCTTGAATCTCGGCACTTGCCGGTCTGAGATCTTGAGATCTCCGTTTGGCCTGAGTTCAGGAAGGGTTGCTTTCCTTCCACCCATGGATGCCAGCAGGGTCACGGATCTGTAGCTGCTTCGAGTTCAATTTTCAGTTCCCGTCTATGCCACCACATTGTGCAGTTGCCGCGCCAACATCAGCCTGTTCTTTTTTGGGGCTGGTGTCTAGTGCCGCCGCGGTGCACAGATGCTGTGCCAACACCAGCCTGCTCTTTTATGGGGCTGGTGTCTTAGACTTGTGCCGCCACAGACTGGGGACAGCAAAAGCGAAGATGACCCCCAGACGCAGTGACGCCTCAAGAGAGCCCTCGGCGCGTCCCCGAGAGGCCCTGAGGAGGCCAAACACATTGATTTTGCGTGCGTTTGGGGCGAATTTACGTGCGGCTCTCTTGGGCCGCCTTGGGGCCCTTTTCGCAGTATTGTGGCTGTCCGGGGGTTGTCGTGGGCCGCCTTGGCGCCGTCGAGTGGCCGTCGGCCGAAGGGCTTTCTGAGGCCGTCTTGTGTCCCACGGGAAGCCTTCCTGGGCCACCTTGAGTTGACAGTCCATGAATTTGGGCATGTAGTGGCCATGTTGGTTGGGCACTCTTGGAGGCATCTTGGGCAGTCTTGAATCAAGATTCGGCCACCTTGGGGGCCACATTGGGCCGTCTTCAAGGCATCTTGGGCCATTTTGGTGCCGTTGGTTGGCACTGGCCGTCTTGGAAGCTCGGGGCGCAGATCCATTTTCTTTTGAACGAGGGGCCGTGGCTTGGGGGGCCCCGGAGCGCTCGGGAGCAGCGCCTGGGAATGCGGGAAGTGCACCATCTTCGAGCGGCTGCGCGTGGGATGAGGGGTCTGGGAGTTAGCAGCCGTGCTGGAAGTACACAATCTTCGAGCAGGCGCGCATGGAGTGACGTCAGGCAGTAGATGCCACGCGGGAAGTGCACCAACTTCCTCGAGCGGGCATGCGTGGAAGGGGATGTTCAGGCACTAGCTGCCATGCGGGAAGTGAACCATCCTCGAGCGGGCACGCATGGAACGGGGGTGCAGGCATGATCTGCCATGATGGAAGTTACCATTTTCGAGCGGGCGCGAGGGAAGTGGCCTCGGTGAGTAGGGGGATGCACGCAATAGTCCGCTGGTAAAGGGATGGGTGGTCCTGTAGTAGAATCGAAAACCCTACCAGACAAACCGCTGCATTCTTCCACGCTTCAATGATTCTAAAGCGAGCTGAGGGACGTAAGGAGTAGAAGCGAGCGCGCGCCCGCGGCCGCGTCGGTTCAAGCCGCCGGCCGCCCAAATATGACTGTGCCTCACTGCGGGGCACACAATATCTATCGAGACCAAAAGGATATTCTTATGGCTTAAGATGGCATCTCCTCTCATACTGGCATTATCGCTACCACGGTACAACAGAGCGGGAGCTTGGCTTCGCCTGAGGCGAAGCTGCTGGCTGGGCCTTCCAACCCCATTCAAACTTGGTAGCGGAGCTGGCCTATGGTGGTCAGCTCTAGCTCTATTCCTCACCGTCCACGGCACTATCTGGTGGATTACACACATGGTGGAACATCAGGGTGCAGTGGGATTGCGTGGAGGGGTGTATACGACTACGCAGTGCCGCAAGGAAACTTGCAGCGATACCTCTGTCAAAGCGGAGGTCTTTCAATCACATCTTACATCCCTGCGCTACTACACTCCTGAAGTCAACCCACCTGCTCCACGTGGAATTTTCTTCGAAGACATAATGCATGGAGACATGCGATACGACATACTGCTGCCTCCGACCCCACGCAGACTTACGATTAAACAACATGAGTCCCAACCGACTACATCCGACTACGACCTACGAGGCCGTTGGATTGGGGCCACTATCTTTGGGCTCGTATGGGTCGCTATTGGGTGTGCGGTAGGACATATGCGGGGCGGAGACGACACAAGAACGACTGGCCCCCATCGGGGCCCCGCCGGTCAAGTACCTTTTCGCGAATTCGCCCGCGAAGTACGTGCCTGGATCAATGTGCCCACAGGCAATACCACCCCCCTCTGGCAAGGCAGCGAGGTTTGGGACGTCTCGCACGGACCATAGCCATGAGAGCCCCCCCAGCAGTTATTAATTTTGGCGTCAACATCGGCGGTCGCCACACCGACGGCGCCACTTACACGATGCTCCTCCTAAGCACGAAGTTCGAGAACCTAGAAGAGGAACGCCAACTCAGCTCTTGGTGCGGCTCTTATTGACTTTCGAGCCCATGCGTGTGAACGTATCGACCAGACGTTAGCACGGTTTGAGATAGCCCGCTACGAAACTGAAACCGCTGGCTTCAATATCCCCAATTTCCAAATCCGAGCAGGAGTTATATTCAGAGCTCCTGGAGTGGGGACATCGCTTGCACAACAACTCTTGCAGCCTCTGAACCACCACATGCCGAGGGACTAACAACAATTTTACGCTCTACTTGAACGCACGAGGTCACATACTCACATGGCTGAGAGGACCCCTGGCAATATTGGTGGTATCTTTAGCCACGGTCACCGAACCGAGACCTTCCACGTAGAGTCCAACGCAGGGCGACTTGCTAACAACGTTTGGAACGATGATCCACAGTCATTTGGGACCACTACACTGCTGGCTCAGAATGGTGAAACGGCCTCGGGGTCGCAAGACTCCCGGGCCAGACCTAGGGGACCGCCTGACGCGGTTTCCCCTATACAAGCTACGACCCTAATGGGCTCAGCGGGGCAACCCGCCGAGTTTGACTTCGACTCCAGCACCGATACGGATGCGTCTTCCGATGACGAAGCTACCGCCTTGGATACTCTGATATGCCGACATACCTTACTGAAAAGCAACAAGTTCAATGGTTATTTTTGGGCTAGCGAAAACTCAAGCGTCGTTGGCGGAGGTTCATGAAGAGACCAGTCCGAAAGGTAAGACGCATTGCACGACGGGCACTTAAAGGAAAAGGCAAGGGTCGAAGTAAAGGCAAAGGTATGCGTCGGCGAGTATATTGTAGAGGCACACTAGCATTCCCAGCGTCTCTTACTGGACCTCAGCACGAAGAAATGTTTGTAGGCTCTGGCAGAAACCGCAGAGGAAACCCGAAACATACAAACGGTGAAACTATGGAGTGCGACATATGCCACAGCACACGACATTTCCGACGCAAATGCCCCCAAGGTGTTGGAAGAGGCAGCGGTCCGTCAATACATCTGGCTCAGACAGACCCCGACATACAGCATGTTGATTGGGAGTCGGTCTTAGCCGACCCTGCCGACGGCTCAGCCACAATTGTTGATTTCATGGTTGCCAGGTATCTAAGTGCCGGCATGACCCTCGAGGATGGCACCGACGAGCTGTCCGAGGAGGTGTTCACAGGCCACAATGGCATCGACTTGGCAGAATGGCTGGGTGCACCCATCGCGGGGCAACCTGCTGATATTGAGTTTGTCGAGAACTTCCACGTGCCTATCGAGGGCGTCTTTGGCATGGCGGGGGCGCCCTCGGATTCAGAATCTATTACTCCTGCAACAGATGAGGCAATACATGCGGCACCCTATCCTCGGGCGATTGGGAATCCGACAAACATGGGAAAACCCGCGCGACGCTGGTGATCTATCCAAGCGTACTCAATATGAGCTTGGCCATACTGAAGAAGTTCAGTTCCTTCTGTTGCATCAGATCGATCCGCCAGCCGCCAGAGGCGATCGCCAACTCGCCAAGCCTGGGCGAAGAAGTGTTACCATGACGATCCAAGTCTCTCCCCAGCGGACGAGGAGGACGAACGGGGAGACGATGTTCGCATGATACGTCGCGGTCGGGCTCCCAGCCACCCGCCAGATCGCATGCGAGCCCGCTCTAGCGGTGCTCGTTCGAGCGGCGTTCAGCGCCCTCATCCCCCTGATGCGAGGGCCCCAGAAGCCCCGCCGTAGCAGGCGACTAAACCACATACCCCCCCCAAAAAAAAAGAGCCAGCTGCGGGGAAAAAACGCCTCGGGGTGACCGGCGTCGAAGAGGAGAATGCCCAGTAGGTGGCGCACAGCGTCTGAAAGGCGACGCGGAGGCTGGATTGGCTCGCCAATGCATGCCCGCAGACCAGATGCAATACTGGTTGGAACAGGGTTGGACTGAGCATCGCATCCGGCACTGGTATTCTCTTCGCCAGGTCAAACGAGATGACGCTGGAAATATGCGCTCAAAGGCGGGACCTACCAAATCACAAGAAAACATTGTCAAGCGCGACCACAAAAGGGCCATCATCGAGGATCGAAAGCTCTACAGAAGCGTTCGTTGCACATGCCCCAGTTTTGCTGATCACAGGTTCGGCTGCCCCATGAGGCGCCTTTCAAGAAGCCCGAATTTCAAGGGAACACCGTGGGTTTGGTCTCTTGGAGATGGTCGGGGTCACTGTGCTGATCCCAATCCTACGCCATATCTCGAGTAGCTGACGGAGAAAGATTGCGAACCCGCCACCGCCGAAGAAA